TATCCGTTGGACAAATGGACAAGTACAGAATCTCCTGACGGAAGGTTTCGTTTCTCAGTATCCCAAGTAGAAATTTTAGTCAGATCTTGATCAGACACTGATCAAGTTATCATATCAGATTCTGATCAGGTATGTAACGCTATAATATTGGATTTTTCCCCACTAGGGTTTCACCGCCTACCATCATTAGGAATTAATTAAATTTAAATTTTTTGAGAGAAAAAATTAGTACCTTCCTAGCCGGGAATCGAACCCGGGACCTCCCAATGTCGCGTCGGGTGCTCTTACCATGAGCTACCAGGACACTTACGAATTTTACTCTCAAATTGAATCATACCCGAGTGGAAATTTTAGTCAGGTCTTGATCAGACACTGATAAAGTTATCATATCAGATTCTGATCAGCTACATAACGCTATAATTTTGGATTTTCCACTAGGGATGAGATATTTCCTTCTTGTCAATTTCCCAGTCATGAATTTCTTAATACGAGTAAAGGCGTACTTCTCAAGAAACTTTTTTGCCTATTAATTATTAGTATGGCTGATGGTGACTGCATAATGTCCTAATGAAGGAGTTGTGCAATAAAGTTTTTTTCTCAGTGCATGAGTGTTTAGAATAATAAGATTCATCAATTCCTGGACGAGAATATTTCGAATTTGAGACCCCGGATGTACTTCATTCAGGAAACCTAATTATCTTATTTTAAGACCTCAGAAGTATTTCATTCCAGAACCAACTATGAGAAAATGTTCCGTAATCCACGTACAATTGGTATTGATTAATAATTAGTCAAAATTACTGAGAATTAGAAATTTTTTCTCTGACTTTTGGGGAATATTTTTTTTTATGTGTAAAACCTTCACTTGTTTCCTGGATATTTTACTCGCTCGATTTCAGTACGATAAAGTTCTGAAATGCAACGATTTTTCCTGGTAACTAGAAACTTTCTTTGTCTGTGGTGTTAACTCTATAGTCAAAAATCCAAGGTGTTCAAGTCCATAATGTGTGGTGTTTTGGTATTAGAATCAAGCAAATTTCGGAGTAAAATTACACGGAAAAAAATATTCTCGAATCGGATATATAATATTCTGGAATCAGGAGTATGTTTGTTCTGAAATTCGAGATATTAAATTCCGGAATCCAGAATAATGTTCCGGAATCCGGTATATTATATTCCGAAATCCAGAATAATATTCCCGAATGGGGGTTACTTTATTCTCGATTTCCGAGACATCCCCAGGGGTTTGCAGATTTTTTAAAGGGCGAAGGGAGGGTCGTGAAACAATTTCCGATAACAAACTTTTGGTCGTTCGAAGTATTCGGAGTGCAGACTTTTCTTTCCATTTAAAGATACAAAAAATCGAGTTTTTCACCCTCTTAATATTCTTTTGTGCCATTTTCAGAGGTTTGCCGTTTTTTCCAGACGGTGAAGAGAGTGTCATGAGCCATTTTTCAATAATAAATTTTAGGTCGTTCGGAGTATTTGGGATGCAGATATTTTTTTCCGTTTGAAAATACGAAACACGTAGGTTTTGACCCTCTTAAAACCCCTTTGTACTATTTCCATAGCTTTGCTGATTTTTCAAAATGTGAAGGAAGTGTCGAAACATTTTCCGTTAAAAAATTTTTGGTTATTTTAAGTATTTGGGGTTCTAATATGTTTTTTCTGTCAATCAAAAATAGGAAAAATGTAGTTCTTCGTAGAATAATTTATAAGCGAAATTTTCACCCCGTTGTTTCAAGTTAAATCTGTGACGCAAGTCTGTTGTAGGGAAATATATCACAACATGCCCTTCACCCTCTGAAAAATCAGCAAACCCCTGTAAATGGTACAAAGGGGTACACTTTAAAAAAAATCGGAATTTTCCGGGAAATGAGAATGAATTCAATTTAACCGAAGAAAATCTGTGAAGTTTCCCTCAAAATTGAAGGACATTCCTGATTTATCAGTGGAAAAAAGAGGAATATTCAATAGTGTACATGAATTTCCAACACGAACAGGAAAATTCAATAATTAATTTTCCTAAAATTCCAACGGAATAAAAATGCAATGATATTTTTGCCAGATTTTTCCTCATTTCCATTAATTTTCATGGAATAATTCAATTGAAATTTACAATTTCTATGGATTTTTCCACGAAAATCATGAATTTTCAATAACAAAATTTCCTGAAATTTCAGTGAAACCGTCATTTGTTTAATATTTTAAAACTAAAATCCGAAAAATTCGGTTAAATTTTTTTAGCAGTGTACTGAGAGGGTGAAAAGCTCAATTTTTCGTATTTTCAAACCAAAAAAAATGTCTGCACACCAAATACTTCGAATGACCAAAACTTTGGTATTGGAAATTGTCTCACGACACTCCCTTCACCCTCTGAAAAATCGGCAAACCCCCGGGGGTATCTCCGGAATCGAGAATAAAATATCCCGGATTACGGAATATAGTATGCCCGATTCCGGTATATTATTGCGGATTCCGAAATACATATTCCTTGGAGAATATCTTTTTCCGTACATCACCGAGCCCTTCATCAAAATTGAAAGCGGTGTCCATTTTATACTATTCTGTATGGACTGCACTCAGTCAGTGGTATCATCCACTCCATGCAATATTACTAGTTCTCAAAAATGTCCATTTTACACTAGTCGGTGTCAACTGGGCCGAGTCATGATTCACTTCATGCCGTGTTACTCATTACACCTCTTTGCTGTCAGTGTTAACACCGAAGTTATTCTTCACATCAAATTTTTATCACCTACGCCGAGAGACAAAAATACTTTTGACAAAAAAAGTCTACTTGATACAAGACAATAATCTCTTGACAATTTTAAAAATCGTGAAACCTATTCAATATTTTCATTGTCAGACTCAGAAAAAAACATTTTCCAACAGGATGAGATTCTCTTGTCCCGAGAGAATTTTTAATGCTTCTGAAAACTAAAAATGATATCCTTCCCATAAATTCATGTAGTTCGTTTTATATCTAGAATTTTGTTTTCATCAGGACTTTGATTCCATAAAATCTTGCACCAAATGCACAACACTGCTCACCTTAACCCTCCTGAACTGGCGCGTAGAGCGGCGCGCCGCCGTCAACAACTCAACCTATAGGGCGCCACTGTAGTGCAAATGAGACGTAAGAGATCTAGCCAGTTCAGGAGGGTGAAATTCATGATTTTATATAGTGAATGGTTGTATTTTGACGAGTTATTAATGGTAAACATATTAGAAAAAGTCATTCTCATAAATTCAAATTTATTCGCGTGTTGTGAGGTGTGATTTCATCCCTTTCTGTGAGCTAGGCTACACAATATAAATTCTACCGCTATGAGTCGTCCTCCTTTACAGGTACGTGTTCAAATAGATGTATGGGATCGCCAATACTCCGCCTCACCTTCTTGAGGCACGGATTCGTTAATAATTCACAATAAACGGCATATATTCAGAATTTACATTATGTTTACCGAGTAGTGAGGTATTTAATAAACCTCACCAGCTCTTAGCGTAACCCAGCATTTATGACCAGGAGGTGGCTGGTGTAGAATCCCCCCAAAAAAATGAAAATAATATGAATATACAAAAAATGAAAAATAATTAATTGATTGGAAATTTAATATAATTAAATTTCCTCAAAAATTAAAAAATTAATTCTAAAAATTAATTGCGACTCTACACTTTGGCGATGGTAAATTGTTCCGTATAAATTAAGAATAAAGAAAATGATTCAAAAGTTGAAAAATTCAAAGTTTGTGAGACGGTATAACCATACAGTGTTAGAGATTTTTTATAGTAAATCTCGTGAGAGAGACATTGAATCAGATTTAGAGAAAAAATGGTTATGAAATGTCAAGTTTTAAGTAGAATTCACGGAAATTCATGAGTTTTCAGTGAGAGTGAGATGGTAATTTCACAACTTGATTGAATTTTCAGTGGAACATGAATATTCAGATACAAAATGACGTGAATTTTCAATTTTTCCCAGCGTTTTCCTGATTTTTCAGAATTTTCACAGAATAATTGAACGGAAAAATCACGTATTTTATTGATTTCCAGATGGTTTGACCAGAAACCCGAGTGGAAATTCTGTTCAGGTCTTGTTCAGAAACTGATCAAGTCCGATCCGAAATTCTGATCAGGCGTGTTACGCCTCTGCCTTAGGTTTTTCCACTAGGGAAATCAATGTAATATTTGATTGTTCATTGACAAAATTTCTTGAAATTTCAGTGGAACTTGAACACGGTAAGAATTTTCGGAATTTGGCACGGAAAATTCAGACGAAAATTTTTAACAATGTACTGTTATCCAATTTTCTATACACTTGAATTGATAATGAAAGTGTTCATCGTACAATCGCAACAAGAAGTCCTCAGTTGGAGATGATGAGTGATCATATCGGGAAATTTTCGTGTGAATTTTCTCAATCAGTGAATTTTCTCAATCCATTAAATTCTAGCTATATCGCAAACTACATGAATTTGTGAAAAGACTTATGCTAACACTTAAAAATTTTTTCAGGACAAAAGAATCTCATCGTGTTGAAAGACTTCTTTCTCTTCGTGTGAGCACAAAATTATTTAGCCGGAGATTTCACGAATGTAGAAATTGACAAGCGAATACTTTTTCTTTTTTTTTTATCATTATTTTACATAACTTGGAACCGGTTAGGGTATACTGCGATGATGATCAAGACTTTAAATGGTTAGATCGTACCATTCCACCCGGCCGGGATTTGAACTCGGAACCTTTCGCATGTGAGGCAACGAACTTACTGCACCAAGCCACCGGGCTTTAAGAGAATACTTTCTTGTATCAATGAAATCATCTTTGTCAAAAGTCATTTTTTTTCTCAGTGCGGGACAAACTGGATATTGCTTAGATAGAGAATTTCATCTCCTAGGAGTTAATTTTCATGATCACTTTTACCAGGATATATTTCATTGTATATTTTCCAGGATTGAATGACGTGCAGTCGTTCATAATGGTACATTATCGCTCACCTGTGCATATTCAACCAAGTCAACTTTCTGAGTGGTCTGAGTGCCTTGAAGGGTATGTCCTCCAGTGAATTGTAGCTGAGATCAAGGGAGCGCAGGCTACCGGCTACACCGCTGCAATGACAAGGCAACAGAAAACAGATGTAAAGAGGAAAAGAGAATGACAGAGAAAATGTTTGAGATAGAAGTATTTTTTGTCAAGATGAAAATAAACGGAATGAGCTCGGAATGAAATAACGGAATATTGAACGGAACAGAATTGAACGGAAAAGACAATTGTTTTGCTGACATAAGGGATAAAAAGAAAGAATAGGGTAAAAATGGAAACGAATATGTGGAAGAAATCAGGTAAACGCAGGGGAATGGAGCAACATGGAGAAAACGGAAACCAGAAATCGATAAAGACAATTTCCGGGGGAGGGGGCAATACGGTGAGGTGGTAAGGGGGTGGAGAAAAAAGGGCCAACGATCAACCTGCAACTGTGAATCGATGGAGGAAGCTTGGGGATTTTTGCTTGCGGTTTACGGCAAGAAGACCGGAGTTCAAAGGTTGAGCGGGTAGTGTATGAGAGAGATAGAGAGTCGAGTAGTTGGATTGTGGACCAGTGCAAACACTCACACGAGAGACTTCTCCCCGATGCTCGCAAGACGATTGCTCATGAGCCCGAGCGCCTCAACCCCCGAGGAACTCACCAGAGCATCGTTCTCCAAGACCTGCATTCCCGAGCTCACGATGTCCAGCTGGGCCACATAACTCACCGACACGTCTGGGGATAAATAAAAATACGGGAATGTGAAAAAAGGGGCTTAGTCCTTTAGTGAGGTTTCTCTGCGGGTTGGCTTCGATTTGTTCAGTAGATATTTTTTGGTTGAAGGGGAGAAGTTGGGGTAATTGCCCGTTTTTGTGGGTCAGTATTTATTTGCGAAGTGTGAGGAATAACAATAATGAGGGGAGGTATCTATCTTGATTAGGGTGACCGTTAGGGCACCTGTTCCGGAGTTTTTGGTGTGCTGCCTCCTCAAAAGACTCGAAATAAATTTTTAAAAATCCTCTCAAATTTTCAGCTGACTACACCCAGAAAAATGTTTTTTTTAATCAAATAAAGATCTTTAGTTGAAATTTTTTACTTATTTCAAGAATATTTTTATTACAAATGAATAAACTTGTTTACTCGTTTCAAGAAGAAGGATTTACTTATATTACACAAACAATTTATTTATTCAAAACAAAATTTTTATTAAAATTGAAAAAACAATTTATTTATTTCAAATAAATGATTTTTTTTAATCAAATAAAGAATTTATTTAGTTCAAATGAACAGTTTTCTTGTTTTAAGAAAATCATATTTTCACGTATTTTGTGGAAGAATTACGAAAATGTGTTTCAACAATATTCGTGGGCTATGTGGAAAAAGGTCGTATGAACCTAGTCCCGGAAACGTAATTCTGAACGATTTGAGCTCTCTAGAATCATTCTGATCCAATTTTTGATTACACTTTTAACTCCAGTATATACGATCTTCTTTCACCATCTCCTACATTGTCGACTCCTTGATAGTGAAACCATGGAATAGAAGTTTCTTCCCCCCCCCCTTCCCCCAAATGTCTTACGTGATGAATGTACAGCCCTTAATAATTATTGCATGCTTTTCGTTCAATCTTTTTCAATTTTATTACCAACTTAAGGCGATAATAAATTTTTAGTATCAAATAAATCTTTATTTAGTACAAAGAAAAAATGTATTAATAGTAAAAAAAAACATTTATTTAATATAAAAAAAACTTTGAATAAAATTTTTTATTCAATTTGAAAAAAAACTTTATTTGGTACTATTCAAATAAAGTTATTTATTTGATTCAAATAAACCTTATTTGAATCGAGTAAATCATTTTTCCGGGTGTATTTCAATTCTAAAACGCCCCCCAAGAGCCTTGTTTTTTCCCATACGAATAACACGCCATTTTCATGAAAAATTCAAATCTATTTTCCCCCTCCTCCTATTATGCCACTGAAAATTTTAGAATTCCGGAAAATTACTAAGAAAATGAATTATTTTTGACGGATATTTTAGGTTTTTTGTTCACATCATACAATAGCGCAATTGATCTTATGGAAAAAAACATTATTCTTATGGGAAATGTTGTTCCTGTGTAATTCTTATGGGAAAAACAAGGCTCTTGGGGAGCGTTTTAGAATTGACATAAAGAGCTGAAATTTTAAGCGGATATTTTTTTTTTTTTTTCAAATCTTTTGAGGGGGCAGCTCGTCAAAAAACACGGACTGTATTTTAATCTTGATATATACTAAAGCACATCTACCCTCCATCTACAATTTTTTTTACTGACCCCATTATAAATTCAGAGGTTTTACATCATGAAATTGTTGGATTGAGTTGCGTGAGGAAATTGAAAAAAAAAGATCACGCATAATCAGTATCATTTAAATAACAGTGCTTAATATATTGAAGAAAAAAAAAATTCTAGTTGTCTGCAGAAGTGGTATTGAAATCTGGTGAGCAAATGTCCCGGATTTGAGTGCGATTTCCATTTTTTTTATGAAAAGTTTCTTCATCTCCTCAAGGAGGTGGCCCTTTTCATACTACCCTCGCCGCGCGCTAGTAGCACTAAAAGCAAAAATTTGCTCTGCCGAAATAATACATGTTCCACGTGAGAATATTTGATGGAGTGGAACAGATTTACTGGAGGGAAATTAACCAAATTGATGGAAGAAAATTTAAAATCGTTCACAAAATCAAAATTTTTGCTGTGATCATCAGAAATATCCCTAGAAGAATTCGAACTATTCACGGAAAAAAATTCTTCGAATCGGGTTTATAATATTCCGGAATGAGGAATATCTATATCATAGATTCCGGGATCCTAGTATATTCTGGAATCCGAAATGATATACCGGAATCCGGAATATTATCTTATGAAATCCGAAATAATATATTCGAGAAGACGATATGATTTTTCTAATGGTGAAAAACATTTGACCCCAAAATTGCTCCTCCTTCTCCAGGCCATTTCACAGTTCTCGGCTATTTTATCCTCCATAATGACAAACAACAACAATGCATCTAATATTGCCAACGTTTGGAGTGGTAAATCTCATTCATTATCAGGGCAATTAATTTATTTCCATCTATTCATTAAAAAATTTACTTCTTTTGTCCAAACTTTTTTTTGAACAAAACACACGGTCACCAAAACATCACCCGAAATAATATGTCCTAACCTACAAAGCTATATCAATGAAAATACAAAAAATCAAATTATCCCCCCCACCCATTGTTTAAAATAATTCAGAATACCGTCAATTCTAAAAATATTATCCGTCAAATAAATTAGTGAAGACAAACAGATTACAATAATCACATTAGGCCCAAAAAAAGAGGTCGTTGAGTATAAAATAGCTGAGAACCACGAAATGGCCTGGAGGAGAAGAAATTTTTAGATTAATACAGGCGGTTGGAAATGTAATTCAGTGGAAAAAACATTTTATTAGTGGTCCTTTGTTATTCAATATCTCTTAAACAAAGCATCGGAGAGAAAAGTTTTATTAGAGTTTTCGTCCCCAAATAAGCTCCGCGAACTATTCTTACGAAGATGACATTGCATTTTGGGACACCCTAGTCCAAGCGGAAATTTCGCTTAGGTTGTCCGGTCTAAATCAGTTTTAGATCCAATATTGGTTAGAATTTTCTGATCAGATCTCCCGTATAAGGACCTAGTCAGTTTCTGAACAGGTTATTCTGCACTGGATCCGGGATGGCTCAATCACTTCTGATCCTATTCTGATCAGTCAAAGCTGGTAAAATTAGACTTAACATTCCTGGTTTAAATCCGAAAAACCTGACCTCAAACCTGATAGGGTGTGGTAGGACACTTTTGATCATTTGAGGATCCCACCGATAGGATCTGAGCCTTTTTTTTTAATTCTGGACCCTTCCTGCTCTTGTTTGAATTCAGAGTACCTTAAACGACTACACATAGCCCAAATTTCGAATAGTCCGTGACGTAATCTTCCCTTTCGCGGTTCTCACTGGGCTATACAGAGTACATTCTTCGCTGTTATACAATAAAGAACTTCACACCTCAGTATTGTTACGATCCTCGGTGACTCATGATTCAGTGCATGAATCATGGGTGATAAAGTAGATTCAAATCCGTACAGATTACCAGGAAGGGGTAACGATGAGATTCTAAATTTTATAGATTTCCGCGATTTGATAGATTTTCTAGATTAGGCCTTCCTAACAAAATCGTGGAAGGTTTATAGTCTTGATTTTTATAATTTTTAAAATTAGTTTTAACTTTAATCCAACTACGCAGAAATCAATGAAATGCAACCAATAAGTAAAATGATAATATTTTACTGGTAGTCTTTAATTGCTCGACATGTTCGGTCCCCACACGATCGTCGGATATGTTCAAAGAATCTCCTCTCATTGAGACGGGATTGAATATTGGTTGTATTTCATTGGTTTCCAGAGTTTGGGGGAGCTTGAATTACAAACGAAACGTCGAGATTCGACAGTGATTTAGTATGGTTTACGCTTTTCCCACCTATCCCACGATCCATCCATCCTGAATTCAAAATTTTATGGAAAAATAATGAAAACTGTGAATTTTAATTCAATAATTCCACGAAACTCGACAGAAATAAGAAAAATTTAGGCGAATGGATTCTTGAATTTTTATTTAATTGAAAATTCAACCGAATTTTGGTATTGACTATTCATGTTTTGATTAAATATTCAGTAGTAATACCCCAAGAGCTTCAAAATTACCGGGTATTCGCCGATAGCTTCGTTTCAAACAAATGAGAGTGTGAAGTTCTGCAGGTTATAAACTTGACACCCTCATTTGCAGGATTTTTCTGCAAAACTTGGCACGATCGTTTGTTTGCAGGGAAGCTTCAAGGAAATACCCGATTAATTTTGAAGCTCGAGGGATATTTGTCGGATTATTTTTCCCAATCGAATTTTAGCCAGTCAGCGTGCAGTAGACATCATCAGGAGCTGAATTACGAAAGATTTGAACAAATTATGTTAATAGCATAACTTGATTTCCGTTGACTCCTAAAAATCCAAGATTTCATCTGAAATGATTCGAAAAAATGAAGCTACTGCGAAATATTCAATAGCTAGGAGGAAATCCGAAATAAAACTGTCGAGTAGCCTCAATTACTGCGCTCAGATCGGTCGACATCCGATTGGGAAAAATAATCAAGTAAATTGGGGGATTGTCCTCTTCCTGTTACTAACAAAATGGGGAATTTCATTGAATTTTCAGTTAGATATGAAATGTAATGTTTCTTCTCCTAAATTGAATTAAATGTTACTCACGGAAAAAAAAATTCTCTAATCGGGTATATAATATTCCGGATTCCGGAATACAAATATTCCGGATTCCGGTATACACATATTCCTGATTCCGGAATAATATTCCTGAATCCGGTATATTATATTTCGGAATCTGGGATATTTTATTCTCATTTCCGAAGGCATTCCCAGAGGTTTGCCGACTGTTCAAAGGATAAAGGGAATATCGTGAGATAATTTCCGATAACAAACTTTTGGTTGATCGGAGTATTTGGGGTGCAAACATATTTTTCCGTTTGAAAATACGAATGGTGAATTTTACGAAAAATTCACTATCTCTCTTAGTTTTGGAGATATTTTTCCGTCCCGGCGGGCGCAAAGTTACATTTCTCTTCCGCTTCGCGGGAGGGAACTCTGACTTTGCGCCTACGCCGAGACGG